TCTTATGCAAATTTTCTAACAGTTTTCTGACAGTTTCAGATGATTTGAAATATCTTAGTTCCTGTCACAAGGAAATGATAACTGCCCGAATCTGCTCTTTGTAAGGAGATGCCTATGTCGTTCAAATTGCTATTGTCGCAACTGGGTTTTACATGTAGTACTGCCGCTGACTAGCTGCGATTTATACTAGTAGATTCTCAATGTTTACGAGCGTTAAGTCACGGTTTTTCTCTTTCTTTCTTTTTTTTTTTGGCTGCTTTTACTTCAGAAAGCTCATAAGATAGCATTCTTCCAAAGCCGTGCATGTTTCACTTTTCTGAAACATTTTTTGTTGAGAACATTAGATGTAAACATCGCCAAATTATGCACTATCTGATTTTGAGCTTTTTTCGCGAATTGCCCCTATACAAAGTAGAGGCAGGCTCGCAGAGATTTTTACATATTTAAAAAGTAGAATATTATAACCAGCTAGGTGGGTAGTTTCAGTTCCAGAATCGGTGTACTTTTGGAGAAATTCAGATAAACATTTTCCCTGTTTTACCCGACAACAAAAATGACCGAAACTGTACCGAGATGAATAATCTATTGGTGTGTTCACATTCACTCTCAGGGAAAATTGAATGAATCAAAGTGAAGACGAATAATGTCACTATGTATGATAGAAGTGCCAATTTGTAATGTTGTATTTAGCTTGACATTGAGAAATAAACATTTCACTCTTTTTTTGCGACGTTTTTGTATGAAAATGAGGCTCCAGTCCTCAAACAAGCAGCCGTTTTTACCATGGCAACAAGAATGCTGCGACCTATAAAAAGGGTATTTTTGTGCATCCCCGCTGAGTGCCTAACTGCATGCAAAATTTGAAGGGGGGTTGAATATTTTCATTTCCCAAGATGTTTGATTCTTACAGAGACTTGTTCTTAAGTGTTCGTAAAATGCGGCCGTTAAGCGTTTGTGAAATGCGATTGATAAGAGTTCGTAAAATGTGACTGGAAAGTTTTCTTAACATTTGCCAAAAGTGCAGCCGTTATGTTTTCGTAAATTGCGACCGTGAAGCGTTCGTAAAATGCGACACGTTAGTGCTCTAAAGTGCACGACCATAGACTGTTCGTAACATGCATGATTTGAGAAGCGTCTGGTTGAATGCACTAATACAAAAAGTCCTTGAGATGCACGAGTTTGAATTACTCTTAAAATGCCGAATGTAAAGGGTTCTGGATGCAAGTTGCAGGGACAGAACAACTGAGAGATTGTCGTTGGAATAAGATTGCAATAGTTCATGGGTGGCGATCCAGTTCCATGTTGTGCTGTTTTCACAAAGGTCCGCACAAAAGAGAAGACCGCTGATAGCTTGTGCAGTACGTTGTGCCGTATGGTTTTGTTTTGTATCCCAATTTACATCCCAATGTAATATTTGGGGAGAATAATTTTGGATGAAAAGAATAAATGCTTTTACCTGGAGTTTTATATTATATAATTAATAAATCAATTTCAAATATCCTGAGCTTGCTTCTCTCGGTTCCGCGTCGATTGTGTCCACACATAAGCAACTTGTCAATAGCCAGAGAAATCGGCTACCGACGTGATAAAAACTTTGACACATGCTTCGCATGAATCGAAGGGATGTTATAAGTGTTGCTTTTGGTAAATTTTTAATCGTTTTCATCAAAACATTTCACTTACTACTAGATATTATAGTATATTACACTATAACAACGCCGTCAGAACTTGATATCGGAACTAAAGGTAGTTTGTATCTGTAAAGCATATTCAACACTTTCAGCCAACGTTTACATAAGTTTACTGAGAAACACATTGACAATCACTAATCACGTCCGACAGTTTGTCTATGAGGATCTGTTTTTTATCTCTCAATTTTACAGGGATCTCAAAATCACTACAGATGGCTCTCAACAAAACGACATTGAATTTCTGAAGTGTGTTACTGTGGTAACGTTCACAGAGGTTATGTGTCGTAGTAGACTGGATGTGAGACTTTGATCTCTTTGTTAACTTTGTCTACCAGATCTTGTCTTTCGGAATCTTCCTGGATGCATTGGACATCTTCCTCCTCATCCGGCAATATCCTGATCACACCCTGATCTCTTCGTCACATTGCTGCTAGCGGGGAGAAAAAGCTCTGAACTTGGCTCTTTGTCAGCCACTGTTCTCTAGTGAACAAACGTGCATTTGATTCATTTTTTCGCATTTTCGCAAGAATGCTGCGACCTTTAAAAAGGGTATTTTTGTGCATCCCCGCTGAGTGCTTAACTGCATGCAAAATTGAAGGGGGGTTGAAAATTTTCATTTCCCAAGATATTTGATTCTTACAGACTCGTTCTTAATGGGCACATTTACGAAAACGTAATAGTCGCAAATTAACAACATTTAACAGTCGCATTTTACGAAATTTTAACGGGTGCTTTTTATGAACAATCAACAGTTGCATTTTAATCGCTTTTTACGAACATTTAAAAATTACTTTTTACGAACATTTAAAGATCGCTTTTTACGAAAATTTAACAGACGCATTTAACAGTTATGACCCAGTTAACAGTCACATTTTACGAACATTTCACAACTGCATTTTACGAACATTTAACGGTCGCATTTTACGAACATTTTAGTCGCATTTTACGAAAACATAACGTGTTTTTACGAAAATTTAACTGTCGCATTCTACGAACATTTAACGGTCGCATTTTACGAACATTTAGTCGCATTTTACGAACTTTTAACCGTCGCATTTTACAAATATTTAACGAGCGTATTTTTACGAACATTTCACAGCTGCATTTTACGAACATTTAACGGTCGCATTTTATGGACATTTAATAACATTTCACGCACATTTAGTCGCATTTTACGAACGTTTAACGTATTTTTACGAACACTTCAGAGTTGCATTTTACGAAAATTTAACTGTCGCATTTTACGCACATTTAGTCGCATTTTACAAACATTTGACGTTTTTTTACGAACATTTAAGGTGGCTCGACTGGATTTTTCAAAAGTCATACTGTTCAAGTTTGAAAATTAACTACGACGCCACGAGCAACGTTATGGTAAAACAATTACCACAGCTGTATTACAAAAAGATGAAAGTTTGTTGTGATTGGTGTTATGTTGACATCGGAGTTTCCATAGCAACGTAATGACGTCATGACAGTTTTTTGCTTTCGTTCGTATTTCTCAGTACCATGAGGTTTTTTCGTAAATCGCTCACTGGAGCTTTTATCTCTTGTTATTGCCTAGATGTTGGCCAAGTTTGAACAAATTCAATGAGAGCATTTTTGAAAATTTTGAGGATGAAGTTTTGAGGGTTAAAAATACAGTAAAAACATTGTTGTCGAGATAATTTGGTGATATCTAAAGAAAACGATGCGCCTTGCACGTAGTTGCTTTATTCCACTTCAAATTGTATGTAAAAAGTTGGCGAGATTGCTCTTACCGATTGTGAGAAAAAAAAAAGGGTTTGATGCCTTTGCATTCAGATGCTCTTGTTGTCATTTTTGCGTATAATTTGGTCTATGCCAACAAATATTGTAATATTTTAAAAACTGCTCGATAGATTTTTTTTTTAAAAATCGTCAGTGCTAAGTTGTATTTTCATTGTATACGGCCTGCAGTTTTCAAGGTTATTGAAAATGTGGAAGTTAATAAAATTGGGCCTCAAAAGTACTAATTTGTTATCCCCATATCGTGTTTACAAGTGAGCGACCTCATTATTCACAGGCATTGTTTTAAATTCTCATATCCGCGTGCACAACTTCAGCAAAAAAATGAATTTGCATCAATTAGAAAGTTCGACTGCATTCGGAGATTTTTTCCGAAACATGTTAATATAAACTGAAATTTTAATGAGCTGATTTTTAAAGGCATTTGTCACGCAATTATGCTGTAATGCAGCAATGCCGAGGGTATCTCTGACGAGGAAACGGAAAACTGTTGCTCTGCAGAAAAACCAACTGACCGAGCACTCGCAAAGAAAGCTCCACGGAGCTCGTGAAAACAATTAACAGTTGTCTCGGAGCTAGAAAATCATTCACAGACGAGGACAGACGAGGAAAAAAAAGCCATATATTTTGTTTATTTATTTTCTCACCGTGGCATAGTCGCGTTTCCTTTTATTTAAATTTGTATTACATGTCTTATCTGAAATGTTCATTTAATTACCAAGTATTATTGTTTAACAATTATAATATACAGAATCATATATGTATTTATATAAGCGATTATTCTTAAATAAATATTATAACTTTAACAAACGTGAATCGGGAAGATAAAAGTCAATAAACAATTTTCTGAACAAACTCTGATATTCTTTCTTTTTTTCTAATTTTTACATCGATCACCTGAAACTGCAAGGAGAGGCATTGCTGCCAACTAATGATAATAACATTCACCACTGAGATATTACATCTCTAAACAAAACTATAATTATCTAATGTCTCCTTAGAAAAAAAATACTAATAGCCAACATAATCTTAGCAAAATAAAAAATATACAACAAGGGGGGTTTGGTTCGGCATTTGCGACAGTATTATCCTGTAAGTTGTCTGTAACAAACTTTGACGAGCTTTCTTTTTCTTGCTTTTAAATCATAATCACCAAGACATTCCCGCCGGTAAATGAAAACATCGATATCATTCATCAATGAAAACCTTAATCTAAGATTGCATTCGTACAAAATAGTTAACCACTGCTGTGAGTATGTTTAGGTTTTTCGTCACCCTTGGCTTACTCCGCTTTTCTTGAATTTGCTCAAAGGACTCTGGAAGAGCTAGCACCGCTAACAGAGCTTTCGTTCCACCTTTCTTGTAAACACCCTGCATTGTTTCGTAGTCAAGCCCGGCCTTTCCCATTTTCTCCTTCATTCCTTCGGAGACCGGGAGGCGATGCAGCGTGGACTTTCGGGATTTTGCCTCTTGTGCTGAGTTCATTTTTTTTACGAACAGTTCTGCAGGAACTGCGTGCGTCTGAATTCTTTCAACAGATACTTGCAGAGGGGACTGAAATAAAATACGCGACAAGGCGGTAGCATCTTCTTGTGCATCATGTGCATCAAACTTTTCTTTCAGTAAAACTTCGTAAACGTCGGACAAAGATTTGCTCTTGCAGGAATACAAAGGGCTACCTTTCTGCTTCATTTCTGTCGAAACAATCTTTAGAGAGTCCACAAGGACAACACCAGTAGCCAGGAACAATTCAAGGAGATTGTTCCTTCTCAGAGCATTGATCAGAACTGGGAAGTCAAACTTTTCACCATTGTGTGCAATAAGGACAACTTGGAAGGAACGGGACTGCTGTTTTAGGAAACTGCAAAAATCACTGAGACCCTGAGTTTGCGATACGGCCTCCAGTTCTTTCCCTCTTCTCAATAATGTTTTTCTGCCCTTACAAAACTCTACACTTATACCGTGGACTTGCGTCGCTGACTGGCCAATAATTCGATTTTCTGGAAAAGGTTTACCGAAAATGATTTGGTTTCAGCATTTGGTGGAATGCATGAAATCTGCAGAATATCCGATTTCCGGTCTAGACCTGTTGTTTCTATGTCGAGGGCCAAATGAAGAAAACGTGAACGTTGTTGGATTACAGGTAACTCGGAGACTTCCTGGCTGTTCCCTTCGTTGGATTTTGGGAGATCATCGGTATAATCACTAAACTCCTCCTTTGTCAGACATGCCTTTAGATCGTTCATGGTTGCATTCGTGATGGCGGCTTTCTCTTTGTCGCTCTGTTGCCAGCCGATCCCTGTCTCGTACGTTGCTGACTCGCGTTTCTCAGCAGAATTGGTCTTTTGATTCTTTTTCTTTCGAGAGTTTCTTCTCGCTTTTTTGAACTCTTTTGTTGACTTTCGCTCGCCATCCCTTTTCCTTTTCTTGTCAATTTTGTCGGTGTTCTGTTCTGTGATATGCGTCTGTGCCAGACCCATTTTTTCCGTGGCTAATGTCAGATATCTGTTCCCTTTGTTAAACTGAGCTATTCCTGCAGCGGTTCTAAAGTCGCTGCTTTGCGAGCCTCCATAATGTCTTATTTTCGGCGCTTTCGAGCCAATGGAACTGTTTACACTTTCATTTCTCTGTGATGAGCCCGCTGGGGCCAGCTTTTTCACGGAGTCATGAGAAAGAAATGGTCGAATAGCTTCTTCCAAGGTTGCACGTAAATCTTCGCCCGTCAGGTCCTTGCCTCCTGGAAGACTTCCGTGCTTGTAGCCTTCAGGGTCTTTTTGTATCCACACCAGGAATTGCTGCAGTTATCGTGTTTGCCAAACGCGTGTGGTACGATAGAGGTGAGCCCTTCGAGTAATGAGGATGGCTGGCCCTTGTTTTTTGTTAACACAGTAGGTGAAGCTCTTTTGGATGTAGGATATCACGTTAGAGTCAACCCTTTAATCTTTCCTTTAGCCATGTATAATCTCGTTCCCAGTGTACGACTTGCATGATTCACATCACTCCATTTATCAATGTCGTAGTTAACCAGCGTTTTGAGATGGTTTTCTGTGACGCTGTCGTCATCTCCCACATAAGTCGAGTAAATCACTCCACTTTTCGGGGCGCTTGAAAAAAGCTCGACTGCTACGTTTGCCTCCATACTTTTCGAGGATCCTTCGTGGTTTTTCGACAGTCGTGGCTTTCTGCTTCTTTATTCTTTTTTTCCCGCTTCGTCACAAACCCTACACATTTTATTGCGAGTAGCATAACTAATGACTTTTCCGGTATGTAACCCCTGCTGCTGTGCCCACTCCTGACGACGAGTCGTGACAACGTCCTCGCTTTCTCCAGCCCATATCGTACGACACTCCGAGTTTTACTACTTCCTCATTTCCAGTCGTGGACAACCGCTTTTCTTCCTCATTAAACTGATTACAAGAATCTTTAGCCACTTCTTCTACTGCTTTTCCACTTTCTCTTTCCCGCTTTTTGAAATTGCTTGAGGAAATTGATGGTACACCAAGTGTTGTAAGAAATCCAGAGGTATGCGTATGTCCCAATCCACAATGCAGTGCACCAAGCCCAGCACGGGAATTAGCGTCGAAGGTGGGAGGGCCTCTTTTTCCAGTACGATGATGCTCGGCCGGGCGTACGATGTTAATAAACTCACATTGTGTGCATTTAACTTTTAGTACTGGACACACTCCTTCCGGGCGAACATTAAAACTATTACGTAAATCTAGGGGTCCTTGTTTACAATTCACACACTCGCTCAAAGCGGTTGTTAGCATTTCCAAATTAACCACATAACACTGATCCATGTTTACAGCTTTTGTGTACGGCAGACTTGATCTCAAGGTGGGTCCCTCCGGAACATTGTCGGCTGTATTGCCTAAACTTATTTCATTTCTAACTTTATCACTCCATCGCTGCTCTCTCATTGCCTTGCATTGTTCTTTCCTAACCGTTTTGGATCTGTAATTAGCTGGACGCCCTGGTTGAGACTGTAGCTGCTCCTCAGCATCCTGTGAACAAAATTTACTAGTTATATAACAAATCACTGACAAATGGAGACCCTCATTGAAATAATGTAGAAAATCGTTATGAAAACATCCATACCTGTGATTCACTTCGTCTAGCCTTCTTTCCTACGGCCACGTTGTTCTGCAGAACAGCAGTTTTCCTTTTTCTAGTCAGAGATTCTCTCGGCATTGCTGCATTACCGAATAATTGCGTGACTAATGCTAAAATTTCAGTTCATATTAGCATGCTTCGGAAAAATATCCGAAAGTAGTCGAGCTTTCTCTTTAATGCAAATGCATTTTTCGCTAAAGTTGTGCACATGGATATGAGAATTTAAAACAATGTCTCTGAATAATGAGGTCGCTCACTTGTAAACACGATATGGGGAGTAACAAATTAGTACGTTTGAGGCCCAATTTTATTGACTTCCACATTTTCAATAACCTTGAAAACTGCAGGCCGTATACAATGAAAATACAACTTAGCACTGACGATTTTTTAAAAAAATCTATCGAGCAGTTTTTAAAATATTACAATATTTGTTGGCATAGACCAAATTATACGCAAAAATGACAACAAGAGCATCTGAATGCAAAGGCATCAAACCCTTTTTTCTCACAATCGGTAAGAGCAATCTCGCCAACTTTTTACATACAATTTGAAGTGGAATAAAGCAACTACGTGGTATAGCGGCATTCCCAAGGCGCATCGTTTTCTTTAGATATCACCAAATTATCTCGACAACAATGTTTTTACTGTATTTTTAACCCTCAAAACTTCATCCTCAAAATTTTCAAAAATGCTCTCATTGAATTTGTTCAAACTTGGCCAACATCTAGGCAATAACAAGAGATAAAAGCTCCAGTGAGCGATTTACGAAAAAACCTCATGGTACTGAGAAATACGAACGAAAGCAAAAAACTGTCATGACGTCATTACGTTGCTATGGAAACTCCGATGTCAACATAACACCAATCACAACAAACTTTCATCTTTTTGTAATACAGCTGTGGTAATTGTTTTACCATAACGTTGCTCGTGGCGTCGTAGTTAATTTTCAAACTTGAGCAGTATGACTTTTGAAAAATCCAGTCGAGCCACCTTAAGAGTCGCATTTTAGGAGTATTTAACAGTCGCATTTCAGGAATATTTAACAGTCGCAATTTTACGAACATTTAAGAGTCGCATTTTACGAAAATTTAAGAGTCGCATTTACGAACATTTAACAGTCTCATTTTACGAACATTTAAGAGCCGCATTTTACGAACATTTAACGGGCGCTCTTTACAAACTTTAAGGTCGTACATTTTAAAAACATTTATTACATAGGGCCATTAATTTGACCTTAATTACATAAGGGTTGTTTACTGGTACTGTTTTATAGAAGCTGTTTTGTCGTAAATTTAAATGACTCTCTTACACAGCGCCTTCGGCCAAGATACAGATATTGATCCGAAAAAAAAATAAACACACCGTACCAGTGGGTTCCATCTGAGTGCATGGAATTAGTCTACGTACGATGCGTGTTACCTCATAAATACCCCCTTCCCACCAGATTATTTCACTACGTGATCCTCGTGGAATTCTTTGAAGGAAAATACACATATACTGTGTGGTCTAAGCTGTATGGTCAGTATCTGAGACACTTGGACAACATTTTAGTAACAAAACTCTAGGTGGGATTGCTCTTAATATGGTTCGCAAATCGACCAAGAAGTCAGTAACTGCAACAGAAGAATATGAGGATCCTGATTTTGTTGGTAGTTTAGGTGGCTTAGTGCTGATCAAGCTAAAAATGAATTACAGAAAAGTCTTTCGTACACTCTTCACAGACCTAGACGAAGACAAGAAGAGTATCATCCCGTAATAGTCTTTGGAATAAATGAACACTGGGTAGCTGATTTAGTGGAAGTACAAGACATTGCCAAACAGAAATAAAGGCAAGCGTTTCATCTTAATAGTGGTGGACACCTTTTCCAAGTATGCATGGGCAGAACCCGTGCGTAATATGATAGGAAAAGAGGTGACCGAAGCCTTTACTACCATTTTGGAAAGGGCTCATGGACATGTTCTGCAAAATTTGCAAACGGATAGCGGAAAATAATTCTATAATAAAGTTTTTGAGACCCTATTAAAGAAAAAGAAGATACATCACTTTTCTACTCATGGAGAAGTCAAAGCTGGTATCATAGAACACTTTAATAGAACATTAAAAACGAAATTGTATCGTTACTTTACAGCTGCGTATACTTTGAAGTATTTAGATGTGTTAACTTAACTCGTATTAAATTACAACAAAAGTTATCATAGAAGTATTAAGAGAAGATGTCAGCATCCATCGCACTAATTTGAAATATGGCGGTAAGTCGCCCAAAATTCGTCTTCTCTCCTACTTTCATATTCTGTAGCCCAATATATTCTAATAGTTGTGGTGTAGTTTTTTTGTGAAAATATATTTCAGTTTTCGAGAAATGACTCTTTTCGTTCGATCGCTCAAATATGCAAATTTTCCCCTTGAATATTACCCGAGTTGTGTGACCTCATGTAACGAATGTACTCGACCTACGGTATTTCTGTGAACATAGTCCTTTGTTTTATCATCTAAACTTAATTCCCTGCCGTTATTGGAGCTGGAAATGAAATATTTATTCTTTGGTGAATACTTTTGTCCGACATACTTTTCCTATGTCGAAAGTAGCATCAAAACAAAGACAGTTTTGACAAGGACCAATGACAGAATCCTCTGAGCTTCAAGCTTTTATAAGAAAAAAGGATGGTTATTAAGTTATTGTAAAAATCTTCTTGCGTATTTGTGTTGTTCTATCTTGAGACGAACTCAAAGTCCGGCAAAATTTACTTGATAGCGACTATGGAATATACATGGTGCGCCTACTTGTTGCCACTGTTAATTGGCATAAATCACTACAATTTGTAAAAAAGTCTATTATAACACTCTTACCTTGTTTATTTATGATTTTATTAGCCGGTTCGATTATTATATTACTCCTGGGTATTACTTTTTGACAGGAGCCCAGGTTTTGCGTTGTGTTTTCCCCTCCCTCATTTATATCATAAGCTAGTCACGCAATAGTTGATACCGCGCACCTGAATATTTACCATGTATAAGGACTTTTGTTTACGTTGAATTGAAAATATTAAAATATGTGCTTTCTTCACTAATCGTTGTTTCAGCGGCAGCGAAGCAGCTAAAAGCGGGTTGTTGCTTCAACGCTACTGAAATTTTTAGTATTCAGACAGGCGAGCAAAGCGTGATACTTTGGGAATGAAAACTCTTAGGGGCCTTTTACCTGATATCCGAATAAGTTTTGTTCAAGAACGAGTTCATACCGGTTGCCACATAATAACCAGCGTAAAATTTATTCGAAACGAGTCATTTCTGAGTGAGTTTATTGGGGTTTTCATTACATAATGACACAATCATGCTGGACAACCTTTTCTACCTTTACAATGTAAACGCGGCACAGCTCTCATATTTGTATGAATCCTCTGTAGGAGCGAGGGAAGCATTGGAAAAGACAGAAAAGGACATAAACACTTGTTTTTACAGGCTAATTGTTGCCACTCCCACATAGATAAGACTTGAGTACCTTTCATAATTTTACAGCGGTTGTTGCTGTTTTTCTCCAGGCGCGCACCCCCGCCCTCTTATTTAAAGGGGTCCCCCGGGGATGCTGATACGCACAGCACACTTGACATTTAGCAAGGACAAATTCTGGTATGATTTTTGGCGAAGAGAAACAAGTTTTGTCAGCGTCTAGTTGCAAGTGCGGAAGGGCCCTTTACCACCGTGTACATAATTACGCGTCCCCCCAGACGGCGGAAAGCCAACAAAGTGTTCAGACATTAGTTCAGCAAACTCCGCCTCTGTCTGAATGTTTGGTTGCCTATTGACCAATTCCCAATCGAAACTTAAGTCTGATGTTGCGCGTAATTTTGCTCAAGGTGGTAAGTAGCCTGATTACCGAAGCCAGATTGTACGCATTTTCTAGACATTTTGAGTACTATTTGTGATACACGCTTGCCAATTCCCCAATAAGCCTTTGGAATCGACTTAACCCTACCTTTACCAGGGCCGAACATTTCTTTTAGCACCCTACATCTGCTATTGGAACCACGATTCCACCCAACACCGAGATTTGATCTGTGAGTGGGGCAAATCGATATCTTTTGGCGTTAGGAAGATGTCGGCACGCAACAAAACAAGATCAACTTCATTTTCTGGATCTGAAAACTTGCAACTCCGCAAGTGACTCAAAATGTCTTTTTAACAATCACGCAAGGGAACGACTCGGTCTTCTCGATAACTAAACCCACAAGTTCCACCAGCGAACGATTTAACTAAACAGAAAATCTCCATGTTAGCATGTAGGATGAGACGCTTATAAAACAGATTTCTTGCAAATTGTACTGACTTACGCCAGTTAGCGGTGGCGACAAGTAGGTGCACCATGTATATTCGATGAATCAGCCACCGATGCAGCAGTCATGACCACTCCAGCCAATAACTTAGGACATGCCATCCTAAAACAAATGAACATAAGAGCCAATGGAACCCTACTTACAAAACAATCAGACACGTATCATTTGAAAGCTTACATTCAGACACTCCTGAATCACAACAGAACAGATAGAGACACGGTGTTGGCAGCAACAGAATGTGCAAAGGACAAAATCAATTCACCCTCCCAGTACACAGCTGATAACATCAAGGGACCTGGGGTTGATGAACATGCAGAGTCCACTGTATTGAGTGATAATCACAAAGATCACACCTAGAAAAGCTGGTGAAATCACCATCATCATAAAATTTGCTGCACAGGGCAGTCAGAAGACCATTCTGGTGTACATTGAGTACGAAAGTCTGCTGGAGATTAAGGGAAAAGGTGCTGTCTTGTACGACACCGATTAAAAAAAATGGAAAACGTGATTTTATCCACAGAACAGCTCGATGCTATTGGTGGAGAGGATTGCGAGCTAAAAAATTATCTTTTGGGAACGTTTCCATGCGACAAATTACCGACTAAACCACAGCGTCAATCCCCTCAAGCACACATAGTCAATACGGATCCAGATGGAATGCCAGAAAGACATTGGTTAGGGATATGGACAGAAAACAATGCTTGTGAACTTTTAGGTAGTTATGCCCTACCCATAGCCACATATGAAACTATGAAACCATTAGAGAAGTGGATGAAACATTGGCACTCTGTGATAAAAAATAAGAAATCGCTTCAGTCATTAGCTTCAACTACTTGTGGTGATTATGCCATGCTATATATACCATATAAAGTAAGCAGACATACCATGGAGGAGTTTTTAGATATGTTTTCAGATCACTAGTATTTACATAACGATATCAAAGTAGGACATATGTTAACCAATGTAATTAAAGAACAACTCTTTATAAAAGACACATTAAGGCAAATGAAATATAAAGTTGTGTTACATGAATCATCGTGTCATTTGAGTTACTCTATCATTCACTATGAATACAACAACACAACCCTCCTGTTTGGAAGCATCATTCAAACTTAAGACCCCTTCTAGAATCTGAGTGTGGGTACCTCAAGCTGTGGTAAAACCACCTTCGTGAAACGCTTCCTATTACAGAATCTAGATCTGTTCGCTTCACCTCTGCCAAGAGTTCATTACTGTTATGGATCATAGCAAGATAATTTCGATCACATGAAAGAACAAGGAACTGCATTTCACGAAGGAGTACCCAATGTCGCTAATTTAAAATCATGGTTTGGTGATAAGCAAGGTGTCTTGGTCATGGAGGATGTAATGTCTGATGGTGGAAATAAAAAAGATGTATTGAATTTATTCATACACTATTCATATCATCACAATGTGACGGTTCTTTACTTATGTCAAGATCTCTTTCCGACGGGGAAATATGCCAAAACGATATCTAGAAATGTGCAATACATCATTGCTATAAAGAGAATCATAGGAAATCGTAAAAGACTTACTACGAAATCAAGCAAACCACATAGATGTAGAAAACTCATCAGGGTGGTGTCTTACCTCTAACTGCGGTTATTCCTTCCATACTTGCAGCGGCTAAAACAGCTACCTTGGGAGGTGCTTCTAGTGTAGCAGGATACGGAGTTAAGAAAGCCATTGGTGCTATTGAAAATAAAGCTACGAAACGCAAGTCTTCTAAAACAGCCAAACAACTCATGAAAGCTTACAGAGAAGGAAAGAGATAAAACTGAGATATCTAGTGAAATAGATATTCATTTGGAGGAACTATCGACAACATAAAGAATATTAAGAGGAACTCAGATTTTTTAAAATCCATTTTGAAAGAAAGTAATTGACGTAAACGTATAGAAAATTATTGAATACCGATGCAGATCAAATCAATGCTGTGAGTGAACTCACCTTAAACATGCTGAAAGGAAGAGTCCCTTTATCACCCCCGACCAGAGCTAAATTGAAACGATATAAAGCCACCTTACACGATGTGGCCAAACGAAAACATTCCTTAAAGAAGAGATGACAAGCATTGATCTCTCAGAATGGAAGTGGATTTTTGCGAGGCATGAATGAGAGCGAGAGCGATACCTATAGCAGGTGATTATGTGGAGGTAGGAATATGATTTTCGGTAGACGAGTGTAGCCTTTTACAAGTATTAAAATGGTGGCAACAACGTATTAGGGATCATATCAAAACTAGTAAGATTGTACAAAGGTTCAGACAATGGATACGGTCATGATGGTAAGTCCAGATGAATTTAAAGCCTTAATAGAATATTACAAAGTAAAAAAGACAGAGAGTAACTTACTGAATAAAGATGGAAGAGTAGCAGCCGGAGCTCATATTCTCCTGGAAGATACCTCGACCCCTGCATCGTTAAAATAACCTATTTTGAAAGACCTTCTAGCCCAATTTCCTGCTACGCATACTTTAGCAGATGGTCCTCGTAAAGGAGAGGAGGAGGGGGTATTGAGCGAAGGCCTGCAAGAAAAATTACTGAAAGAGTTGGCCAAATCCATAAAAACCAGTGTTTTCACACCAGAACCTCAGTCTAAATCAGTAAAGGTAGAACCAGGTTCACCAGTGCCAAGCACTTCAGGAACACTATCTCAAATACCTATACCCATAAAGAAATCAAAACAAAAAGAGAAAAAGACAGAAGTGGAACAATTAAAACCGAATCCGGAGTGGGAAGAGTCTACATGCGGTGGACTGAAGCTTAAGAGACCCTTAACCTACGATGACTAAACGCTGAATACCCGTAGAGGCAAAGGCAAAGACCAAGGCAAGGGGAACAGGAAATAGAATTACTAAAAGAAGAGGCAAATCTAGACGTAGTCAGAAAGGAGGAGAATTCGATATTCAAAAATGGATCTCAAAATTAGGGAAAGAATTTCATTGGCCTGGGTATCAGTATATGGGCCCTGGGACACACTTAGAGAAAAGGTTAAAACGAGGAGATCCTGGTATCAATGGACTCGATAGGATTACTAAACAGTACGATATCCATTACAGTAAAGCCAATGTTAATTATACAAATGATCCTTTTTTCATTCATTAATATTCTGTCACACAGCGTTACACGAGATTCATGTCTTACCTCTCCAAAGCTGAGGTAACTTCAGATCCCAAGTCCTCCCGCGCATGTGGGGCATGCAGTTGTTTAAGTGCAGCAGCATATCTTTTATTGAAGAGTATTATTCCATGTACATGGGAATCCTTGTGGGGTAAACTGTAATTCAAATAACGGAGTCTTTGTTTCTTCTTCTTCTGTGGCTTCAACAGCTGCCGCAATCGCTATCATTTCTTGGTCTATAACATCGTCATGGTATGGACGTTTCGCAACCACTTTTTTTTTTGTACTAAAAGAGCAGGAAGATGATTTCTCGACGTCAGTTCGGTGCAACTGCTAGTGTAGAATTAAACAGCGCCTGTGAGTTTTGCCTCTAAAGACATTATGCTAATAAATTGTGGACATGTTCGGGCAAGGATTGGTTTCTACCTATGTTATGCTAATGACTTTTGGGCAGTTTGGGCGAGACCATGATTTTTTATTTGTGTTAAGCTAATGACTTTTGAGCAAGTTTGGGCAAGGCAGGGTATGCATGGGCAAGTTTGCGAAAATGTTTTCACTTAATCAATTTTATTTACAAAAAATGTTTATTAAATAAAAACTAATTTACAAACAGGGCATTTGCTCTCCCTAGTGAAGAGTGCCCAAGATTTCAAAACTACTCACAAGATTAAACTTAAAAAAACGGATAGTACATGAATAACATGGTTGGCTCTTAAAACAGTTTCTCTTTTGGTTCAGCCAAAAAGACGGTGACCTCGCATTCTTCAACAGTTTTTGAAATAAAAAAGCGATCCTCCGGGTCTCTAAAAAACCTTTTCCCCTCTCTAAGAATGTCTTCGATTCTTTGACAAAATTTGGGATCGTCCCAATACTAGCCCGTTTCCTCGTTGAATTCATCTAGCTGGTCATCGTAATGTGTGCGCCAAGGCCAGGTGTTTCCATCGAAATTGATGAAAATTCTCTCCATGTCTAAGACATCTGGGGCACATGCACGTTCTCTGTACCACGGACAGAGATCATTCCACCTTCTACGTAGACAGGTTCTGTGGATTAGCTTCTTACAACATGGAGCTTTTTCCATGTCCTCTTCCTTCAGACAAATGAAACAGGATGGTACTCAAAGGAAACAAATACTCTCTATTAGTTTGTATAAAAAATATAATTCGTTAATTCACCTTATATACTTACCAAGTCGCTCAAGCTCATCCATCTTAATTCTTCTCTATCGCAAGTATTTCGACTGAATGATCAATTGTACTTCGAAAGGAAATACTAGGTATATTTATATCAAATTAACTCTTTATTTAATATTCACCGATAATTGCCAGGTTAATAGATCAAACGTAGGGATCATTTCATTGAATAAGAAGGGGTATTCTTACCCTAGAACATTGATGAGGCAAAGAACTTGAAAAATGTATCTACATGTTTGTAAACGACGCTTCGTGTGTACCTTTACGTTGGCTAGTGAACCAACACTTTATTTTGTCTTTTTCTTTAATTAAAAAAAGATACGGTATTGTTTCTTATAGAAATTTTACCTTTTTCTTTAACATTTCAAGAAATGGTCTATTGTTCTGATTCAACTTCTCACATCATATATTAAACAATAAAACATTTGCAGCACCGACGGACTTTGGCAGAAACGACACGAAAAATTTCGTGGCGAAGTCGAAAAAACATTTTTGCTGTATATCTCTGCGTAGTCTTTTTAATCAGACAGTTTGTTATCATACTCGTGATAGTCAAATCGGACTTACACTGCCTGATTGTCCAATTTTTCATCACTCGTAAGATTACAGACCGAATTGGACTCTATTCAGTCCTATTACCATTACTGACTATACATGCAAAGAATTAAGTCTGACTTACTTAGCGTGCGCGAGATTTGAGCTGCTCTCTTACTATATGAAAGATAAATCTGAGAGGGTCAAAGTCATGATTCGATAGTCCATCGAGCTAGAAAGTATGTCTCCCTTCAATTGTCATGCTGCTATTTTCTCCTCTCAATTGTTCTTTTGGCTGTCTTTCCTTCGGTCTTCCCGAGAGTTTACATTTCCCTCTTCTATGCTAATCTTTGACAAATCCCTCATCTGTTCTGAAGCTGATGTGTGATTGTTCAAAAATGGCTCTATTGGGTTATTTTTCGCTTGTGTAACAAAGCCTATTGTTATCAATGTTGAGCCACTATTGTCTGGAAATCACTAAAACTAACAAGCACCCCGTTGTTCTCGTTGGCAACATGGCCTTCTACCGGAACGTGAAGAGATAAATGAAAACCGTATGATTTGCCTGATGATGGTCAGTATTGATTTGCGGAGTGCCACCATTACTTCCTGCTATTTTAAACCTATACACCATACATGTCATCAACAAGTGGAACGAGCTGGTATGAATCATGCTCACTGTCGTCTAAGTTTTCTTTCCATTTGGATGGAAGGATTAAGACAAGAAGAGCTTGAGGACCTGAACCGATTGCTACAACCTGGTGTGCTTGAGACAACAATTCAAAGCTTAAGTGAAAGAGATAGATTTTGTAGAGATGCGTGGAATGATCATTACACATATGAAATAGTAATGTCCATGTTTCATGAACTGTAATACATGATTTTAGATTTCGTTAAAAAGGTTGTGGTTATTCATCGTGGCGAATAACAATAAAAGCTAAGTTGTTTCGTCTGTATCACGATGTAGTCACGTGTGATGTAGATCGCGACGTTTTGACTGCATACTGCTAGTCTTCTTCAAGCAATGAGATTGACTGGTCATGCGTGATCTTATAAAGCATGATGCTCTGCTGTGATTAGTTGTTTTTCAACAGCTCCGATTGGTGCTTTTCGATCCTTCCTGTTTTACTCAGTGATTGGCTCCCTCAGCGGTTCGCTGTCGCTCGGCTCTCCCGTTGTTGTGTTCTTTTGATCATGGGTATGTGCGCTTCTGGAATTTCTATTCCACTATCCCTGTTGATGTTGTTAGGGTGAAGTCTTATATAAATTGCCTCTTTGACCCTATGCGTGTAGTAATAAGGGTCGTGATCACTAAACTTAACTTTGTTCCAGAGTGGCTTGTGTTCGGTGTTACGGGCATGTTCTGAAACGGCCCAGGTCTCGGTACGGACGAGTAGGATGTCTCGATTGTGCTCCTTAATTCTGTCTTGCATAGGTTTCCCAGTCTCTCCGATGTACACCTTGCCGCATTCACAATGAATCCTGTAAACTACACCTTCTTGTTTAGCCGGGTCGATAGCGTCTTTTGGTCGTACTAACTGAGATCTTAGCATAGTCTCTGACTTAAAAACAGTGCGTTCGCCTTGTTGTTGTAGGCGACGGCGAAGCTGTTCGGACAGATCTTTGACATAAGGTAAAACCGCAGTAACAGTTCCGCAGTAGGAAGAAAGAAAAAAAAGATAACCATTAGAAACCAGAACAGACGACAGATGTTTTTTCTCCTCGGAGATCACGGAGGGTTTTGTTACGAGGCGTTGGGCGCGCTTGTAAAGGCACTTAACAATACCGTGTTTTACTGATTAAGGGTGGTGTGAATCATACGCTAAGTACTGATCGGTGTGCGTGGGCTTCCTGTATACGCTGATGGTAAGGCAGCCGTCGGGTTCTCTTAAAACTGTAGTGTCTAGGAAGGCGAATTTGTTGTCCTCCTCTTTCTCCATGGTGAAGTGGATGGAAGGCTGGTTGTTTAGATGCTGTAAGAAGTTACCCACGTTTTCGCGATCCAGGATGGTAAAGGTATCGTCTCTGTAGTGTTTCCAGATCTTAGGCTTATAGGATGGCGTAGTTATTGCCTGTTCTTCGAAACTCTCCATGTAGACTTAACAGTAACAGCGGAAACCGAACTGCCCATGGTGGCGCCATCTTTTTGTTCGTAAATCGATCTGTTATACTGGAAGTATGTGGATCTCAACATGAAGGTCATAAGGTCAGCGATCTGT